ATCGACCTCACTCTTCCCACTCTTTTAATTTTTAAAAAATACCTTCTGTAATCAAAATGGTTCTGAGTATTCCTTGTATGGCATGTGTTTGTCTGAATCCCTTTTCTTATTTCACTTAGAATAATAGTTTATATTTTTAATCCTTTCAGGAGCTCCTCAATTGTTTATCCTGTTTCACTGTTACCTTTCAGTCTAGTGAGCCTTTGTTGTTTGCTTCTACTTACGACTACAACACATAAAAAGCAAATCCGAACTTCCTAGTTATCCAAGAAGGGTGCTTAAGTGAGGACCTGTGCAGCCACCTGTACTCCATTTCCGGTCTCTGCAGGCACTTACCCCACATACACCTTTGTTTTTTAAAAGACCGTTTCTTCATTTAAAGGCTTACATCTTTAATTTGGACTAGTTACAGTAAAATAAAAAAATAATCCCAAGTAACCTTATGTTTAAGAGCATTTCATAAGAAATCTAGTTAAAAAGAAATCACGGCATTTCAGATACCAGATAAACCTGCATTGTCACCCTTCATCATCACTGACCTGTGATAATCAAGAAACTGAAGACTGCCCGGCGTGGTGGTCCACACCTTTAGTTCCAGCATTTCGGAGGCAGAGACAAGCACATTTCTGTGAGTACAAGGCCAGCCAGGACTACAGAGTAAGACCCTGTCCCAAGAAAGAAAGAAGGAAAGAAAGAAGGAAGGAAGGAAGAAAGGAAGGAAAGAAAGAGAGAGAGGGAGAGGGAGGGAGGACAGAAGAAAAAGAAAGAACAAATTATACCCAATTATTTTAATTACTTAATATTAATTATTTGGGTATGGTTGTGCACATCTTTAATCCAAGTGCTCAGGAGGCAGAGGCAGGCAGATCTCTGTTCAAGGCTTCAAGGCTGACTTGTTGTACATTGCAAGTTCCAGGACCTTAGAAACAACGAAGGAGAGACAGGGAGGGAGGGGGAGAGGGAGAGGGAGAAAGAGAGAGAGAAAAAGAGAGAGAGAGAACAGAAAACCACAAGGAAAGCATTACTGTTACATAATATCTGAATATAAACTGTCAAGGATAAATAAAAGTATTTTATTAACGCTTAATTTCTTGGTTTTCTACCTGCATTGTGGTTATGGAAGAAAGACTGCTCTAGTTCTTAGGAAACATAGAACATATCTAGAAACCAAGGATTACTAATATCTTTAACATATTTTCAAATGATTCAACAAAGAGTACACATTAAAGAGAAAATTGGCTACAATTGCTGGACCTGGACAACACTATTGGGCCCCTATAATCCTCCTAGAATATGAATAAGAAACCAATCACACCCAGTGTGTACATTTTAGGTCTGTTTAGACATTTGGTCAGTTTCTTGGCCCTGCACAACCATTCTTACTTTGAAAACCCTCTCTCTGAGGGCCACTGAGTTCCAACAGAACACAGCGGTTATCAGGACTCCAAGTAATTGCTAGGAGCTGCGCCTACCCATGCCACTCTTCCTTGCTGAATCGTCAGAAGACCAGCTGCCCCCCATTCACCCAGAAGAGGGCAGCCTTAGGTCTGAGAGAGGAGTACACTATGAGAGGGGTGGGGAGGGCGGCCAGCTACAGCCCGTTGGGTCTGTGTATGAACATATCTAGTTCTGTACTCCACGCTGTCCAGTTGTCACTCAGACCTGGAACCAGAAAACAGAGCCAAAATGATGACTCTCTAGTTTTCACTGAAAAACACAAGCTGATCCTTCCTCTAGAAGGCAAAATCTCAATATTGTGATGTCTGGCAACCTAATTTAAATCACACTTTTGTTTTTCTCTCTTACTTAAGCAACTTAATAAATTACTGACTATACACCCCAATTTCAGTGAAAGGGATATAGTATAATAATATAAATGAATGTAATCTTGGGGACACAAAACCATATACTAAATCAAGTTTACAATTAATAGGAAAATTAGCTATTAATGTGTCTAGAGTGGCCTCAGGAGGCTCACATATGAAAGCCTTGGTTTTTGGTTAGGTGTCACGTACAAGTCTGTTAAGAGGTGAGGTCTAGTGGAAGGGGTCTCATTAGGGGAATATCCTTGTTAAATTAACCTTTTGGGGGGGCACTTGAGACAGGGTTTCAGGATTTCTCTGTATAGCCTTGGCTGTCCTAGAAGTTGTTTGGTAGACTAGGCTGGCCACTAGCTCAGAGGTCCACCTGCCTCTGCCTCCTGAGTGCTGGGATAAAGGTATGTGTTACCACCACCTGGCTTAAATTAGCTATTTTAATTAAGAAACATAAAGTAACAGCAATATATATATATATGTATATATATATTTTAAAGATTTATCTATTTAATGTATAAATGCTCTATCTGCATGTATGACTTTATGCCAGAAGAGGGCATCAAATCACACTATAGATGTTTGTGAGCCACCACATGGTTGCTGGGAATTGAACTCAGGACCTCTGGAAGGGCATTCATTGCTTTTAACTACTGAGCTGTGCCTCTAGCTACAGCAACATATTTTTAAAAAATAACAATTATTGAGTATAATGCTGTTGTTTCAGGCAAAACATAATATAGCACAAATTCTAATTGGTCTTAATAATAAAAACTCAAGTCAGCTATCAGGGGTGAAAGCTGAAGGATCAGAGAAGCAGAGCAGCCAACCTAGAGAGTTCCTGTCTCTACCAATGTTCAGACCAAAGGGACGATTCTGTCTCAGGAATCCTGACCGGATCTCTTTAAGAAACCTCAGACTGCCTCTGAGCTCCTCCACTCCCTGCCTTATATTCCTTTCTCTGCCCAGCCATATCAATCCTGTCTCCACCTCCCTAGTGCTGGGGTTAAAGGAATGTGATCCCAAGTGTTGGGATCACCTTTGTGTGAGCTCTTGTTTCTCTTTTAGACAGAATCAATCTCATGAAGCCCAGGGTGGCTTTGAACTCACAGAGGTTTGTTTGCCTTCGTCTCCTGAGTGCAGGGATTAAAGGTGTGTGAAACCACTGCCTGGACTCTATGGCTGATTAGTGGCTTATCTCTGCACGCTGATCTTCAGGCAAGCTTCATTTGTTAATTACAAACAAAATATCACCACAACATAAGCTATTAAAGAAGGTAACTTTAAGAAACAATCAAAATCCAAGTATGAAAAACCACTGATTTAAATAAAAATAAATATTAAAATTTTTGGTTGTTTTCAGTCAAGTACTCGTTTGCTGGAGAAAAAACCCTGTGGCAATGGATACACAGTGAGGATGGCTGTAAGGATGCAGTAGGTGTGTGAGACACCATGCTGGAGTCAGCTCTGCTGCAACCAGATTCGCTGTGAGGAGCACAGGTGTGGGAGCGCATAGGAAAGGTGCTCTGACAATGAGCATGCGCTTCATGAATGCCCAGTGTGGTAACAAGAAAGGGAGAGGAGGACTGTATCTTCCCAGGTGAATGTCACACAAAATTCCCCTCGGATGAGCTCTACTGTGGGCAAATGAAGGCCCAATGTAGGAGCTGCCTAGCAATGCTGAGAACCACAGCACCTGGAAACCTGAAGATGTGGCCACTGTTGCCCACTGGTTTGATACAAGAATTTAAACTGAAAAGCTAACAAGTGGTTTCCGAAGAGTAGAACTCAACTGGTCTTCAGGGCAGTTACTCAGGCAGTACAAATCTATGCTTCTGGCACATGAACTCAAACGAAGAATGGCTACAATGTCTGTAAAGGTCAGACAAAAAGCACTCATCTCTGCAGGCCCCCAATCCAGTCACAAACCTCTCTGTTAGAACAACTGGCTGTACTTTCTCTGACTGTAGGAAACTGGAAGCTATGTCTCTATTGCTCCTATCATTAAAATTGAGATGCAAAGTGAAAATTGTCTATTGGAGAGGGCAAGTCATGTAGGCTCAAAGGACTTTTCAGCAGCACACAGAGTTAAGGGCTGTACACAGATAAAATCTGAACCTGAGGCTGGAGAGCTGAGTCAGGGGTTAAGAGCACTGGCTGCTCTCCCAGAGGACCCAGGGTCAACTCTGAACGCGCACATGACAGCTCACAACTACCTGTAACTCCAGCTCCAGGGGATCTGACACTCTCACAGAGACATATATGCAGGAAAACACCAATCCACATACAATAAAAATAAATAAAAATAATCTGAACCCAGTTTTTAGTTAGTCATGCTCTTACAGTATCTTATATAAGTATTTGTAGGTCATATGGAGAAATAAGATACAACAAGGAAGATTCGAAAGCAAAGTATAAGCCATCAAACCAGGTGTTATTGCACACTGAGAATGGGAACAGTATCTGCATACACTATAGACACTATAAATTGTTTCTGGAAATAATTTCACTAGGTATTAAGAAATTCCCACAACTGAAAGGACACTTTGCCAAGGTCCATCAAGACGCAAAATGATCTTTAAATCCATTTCCAGTGCTTCTATATCTCACTTGAATTGACACTTTACTCAACAAGTAGGACGCTTCCACAAGTGTCAGTTCATGCAGTGCGGTGGGGAAAGGGAATTTAATTCTTAATAACTGTCTAAGTCCCATACTTAGTGTGGTAAGGAGGACTCCTTAACCCTGGTATATTCCCACACAACAAATTACTACTCTGGTTAAATACACGCTCATCATTACCAAACATTTCTCAGACAAAACCAAACCCAGCAAACCCTCCATCCTACTTTTCCCCAAACTCTAACAATCTTGAAGGCAGCACAATCTGTATTTTGTTCATTGTGGCATTTCTGGTATTTTGACCATAAAGGTCAAAATGTTTTCTTAACTATGAACCCCCACCAAGCCTCTCATTTCTAGTGTGCATTTTACAATTAGACTTTTAAATGTCAACATCACACTAATGATACATATTTATAATTGTACAGAAAAGCTAAGTATAGCCACTAATAAAAACTCATTCAGAGAAGTAATATTTCTGACACCACAAAAAAGTGTTTTAACATTTGTAAGACTTAGTTTACACAGGGCAGCCCAGCTTTCTGGGTATGCGGCACTGGTTACCTTTCCTGGTATGAAGCAACAGAGGTTGGAGTCCACATACTTCATGAAAGTCATATTTAACAGTGACAGCCTTGTTTCCACGGCAGCAAGGATATCTGCATGACGAGCTAAGGAATGGTTTCTTCTTTCTGACTCTCTCCTGAAATAACAATAAGTCATTAAAGCAGTAGTGTAGAATACAATGTTAGCCAAACAAAATATCTTAATCAAACAGACGAACATGTTCATTTAGACATTTGCAACTGGATCATAACTGTAATGCTCATATATCTTTAACAAGAACGACTGCTAACAAAATACCTATTTCTTAAAAAACAATCACTTTGCTTGAAGATACAGTAACAGCTGGCAGTGTAGCACAGAGGTAGACCACTTGCCCAGTACTTGTGAGGTCCTGAGCTTGATCCCCAAACCTCCCTATTCCAATCTTTTCTAATAGTTTTACTCAGAAGTAACTCACACACAAAATTCAGTATTTCTTTATTTAGAAGGCAGTTGGGCACACACTGTATCAACGCGACAACCTATTTCGTATGTAGTTAATCAGAGTAGATTCTGTGTATTTAAAGTGGCATCACCATTACCATTATCTAAATTTGGCACACCATCACCATAAAAAGAAAACTTGCAGCCATCTGCTAACTCATCTACCTTCTGTTTCTATGATCTCCTTAGTCTGAACACTGGAATAAACAGGACTGTGATGGGTAGCCCTTTGTGCATGGCTTTTCCCATTTCTATACTCACAGTTCACTGATGCTCTAACACTGACCTTTTAATTGCTGAATAACACCCCCTTATACTTAGATATCATCCCTTTACACATCTGGGTTGTTTCTACATTTCAATTATGAATAAAGATCCTAAGGACATCTGTATACAAGTATGTATTTTTGTTGTGCTGGGAACCACGTGTGGTGGTTTGAAAGAAAATGGCCTTCAAAGGAAGTGGTGCTATTAGGTGGTGTGCTTTGAGGTTTCCTCAGAACTCAAGGTACTCCCAGTGAGACAGACCACTTCCTGTTGCCTGCAAGATGTAGGACTCTCAGCTACTTCTCCAGCACCATGTCTACCTGCATGCTACTATGTCCTGGAATGATGATAATGGATTGAACTTTGAAACTGTAAGCCACCCCAATGAAATCTTTTCCTTTATAAGAATTGCTGTGGTCATGGTGTCTCTTCAATAGAAGTCAACAGCAATAGAAACCCTAAGACAGGACCTTATACAAGGTAGTCAAGTGCTCCACCGAGCTATAGTCTTCAAGATTTGTATGGACACACATTTTAATTTCTCTTGAATATTTGGGGCAAGCTACTTTATTGTAATGTGTCTGTTTAACTTAATTTGGTTCACTTTGTCTTTTACAAAAGGATTTAATCTTATGTGTATGGATATTTGGCTGCATGTATTTATGTATATCATGTGGGTGCTGGGAACTGAGTCTGGTTCTCTGCAAGGGCACAAATGTTCTGGACTGCTGAGCTATCTCTCTAGGCCTCAGCTTGTCTTGAGACAGGTCTCATCACATAGCTTAAGCTGCCTTCAAACTTGCTTTGTAGATAAGGCAGGCCTCCAGCTTGTGACTCTCCTGCCTCAGTTTCTTGAGTTCTGAAATTAGAGGCATGTACTATACTAACAAGCTGGTGAAGCCACTCTTGCTTGTAACATTATGTGCTCTAGGGGTTCAAGAGCAAGTGTAGTTACCTAGAGTCCTTTGCTATAGAGTGCGGTAGTGGCCAGCTTTATATGCACAAGTTTTTGCTTTAGTCCCAATTTCTTAAACTTGTGTGTGTGTGTGTGTATGTGTGTGTATGGCAGAACAACCTGTGGAAGTCAGTTCTCTTTACATCATGTAAGTTCTGGGGATAGAACCAGGTTATTAGCGCCCTTACTTGTGAGTAACCTTGCTGACCCCTAAGTCCCAATTTATATTATTATTATTTTGAGACAGGGTCTCTCTATGTAGTCCTGCTATCCCAGAGCTTGCTATGTAGTCCAGGCTGGCCTTGAACTCAGAGATCCTTCAGCCTCTGCCTCCCAAATGCTGAGATTGAAAGCATGTATCATATCACCTCGCCTGATCCAATTTTTAAAAAACATCATTCTTTCTCCAGCTGAACTTTCTTGGCATCCTGCATCCTTACTGGATATCAAATAAGTACACAAGGGTTATTTTTCAGACTCTCTATTTTATTTCATTGATCTGTGTCTATAATTATACTTGTATCATACTGTTTTGATTACTGTAGCTTAGTACTAAGTTTTAAAATCAGGAGGTATTAGTCTTCCAACACTGTTACTCAAAACTGTGTTAAGTTAATCTGGGTCTCCTATATTTCCACAAGAATTTTAAGATTAGCTGTCCAAATTCTAAAAAATATGTGTGCACAGAGCTGAGCCTTGGTCAAGACTATGTGTGTGTAAAATACATGTGTGTATGTATATATGTAATGTATGTATGCATGTATGTATAGGCAGAACTGAGAAACACTGTCACATTAAAAACAGAACCTTCCAGGCTGCAAACATACGTGCTCTTCTATTTATTTATGTATTTTTTTCTTCCCCTAATCTCTCTTTTCTTTCATTTTGTGTTTTTGAGACTCATGTAAACCAGGCTAGCCTCAAATCTGCTAATGAACCTAAGGCTGGCCTTGAATTCCTGACCTCCTGCTTCCACTGCCAAGAGCTAGGATTATAGATGTGCACCATCACACCTGACTCAATTTTTCTTTGTTGTTTTGAGACAAAGTCTCTCTACAGAGCCCTGGTTGTCTCAAAACTCACTGTGTAGACCAGGCTGGCCTCAAACTCACAGAAATCTACCTGCCTCGGACTCAAGGACTGGGATAAGATCACTTGCTACCACTGCCCAGTCTGTGACTCTTCATTATTTTGGTCCTCTGCAAGAACAAATGAGTTATCTCTCCAGCCTTCTTCTTTTTCCTTGTTTTTTGGAGACACAGTTTCTCTGTGTAGCCCTTGCTATCTTGGAACTTGCTCTGGAGACCAGGTTGGTCTCTCCTCCCAAGTGCTGGGATCAGAGGTGTGCCCCACCACTGCCTGGCCTGATTATTCATTTCTCACATAGCAAACCCGTGGTACCCCCAACACTAACTAGAACGTACCTTGGCAGTTGTGCTTTAACTTGCTTCTGACATAGATTGTGGTACCTCTCCACTTTCAGAAATCCCTGATTCAACATTCTCTGACAGACCAAGTCCATTCTTTTACAAACCTATAGGCAGAGGGAAGACAGAATTTAAAAGATAAAACTAATAACTAAAGCATTAATATGAACTTGGATGGGATGACTGAGGTGACTTGGTACAATCACCAAAGTGCTGTCTAACACAACTTACTGCCACTGTCATCAGTACCATGGAGTTATTATGGCCTCTCACTAAGAAATTAATGTTTGGGCAAAGAACTATCACTTACTTAGGTGTGAAGAATGTCCTGTCGCAGTATAGAAGATCAGTAAAATGATACACCTGGAAGCCTTTAGTAGTTTGAAACTCTCTTTTATCAAAAAAAGTGTAAATTCAAATTTTAGTCTAATCTCAGAAATACAAGCAGAGTGAGAATCTATTTCTTCTAGTGATTTGGGTCATGATGTCCAAGGCTTTCAGATGAGAAGCTGTTATGTTCTCCAAAGCATCTCAATGTACATCACAAAGGCAACCACTTCTGGGTGCTGAAGAAACGGGGACTGTCACTACACAAGCAGAGTGCTGAGAGTCTGAGACCTGATCTGTGGCTGTGGACGGTATCTAGCTCAGAAACAGCTGAGACAATCACAGCAGTGAGATTAAATCACACAGGCCAATACCTTTGGAAAACTCTAAACTGTTGCAAAAAAATTGTTAGGTCACCTTAAAATGAACCTGAAGCCTCTGTTCTACAGACTTAATTTCTGTATTTCTGAAAGACCCTAGAATCTTTCTTATCTTTTAATATCTGTCACATAAAACTTAGTGGTTTTAGTTTTTTTTTCCCCCTGAAAATTTTATAATGGTTTGATCTTCAACCTAAAGGTTACTTCTCACTGTATAGGCCAGATGCTGGAGACCACAGCCATTGAAGGTCATGCTGTTTTCTATCTGTCCTATTCCATCACAGCATCTATGCACAAATACCTGCTATGTATTTGTCAAGATGAAGAGCCTAAGCTTATTTCTCCTAGGAACAAAGGAAGACAAAAATTCCTGTACATTGAGCTGAATTTCATGAAGATTTTCATGTTTTAATACTGAATCACAGTGTGCCACATGGAACATATTAGTGAAAAGTTATTTTTCAACTGTATAATAAAGTAAAAAATAAATTGAGGGTAGTGACACACCAGCATTCAAGAAACAAGAGGCAGGAGAGTTACTTCAGGTTTGAGGAGCACAGAATGAGTTCCAGGTCAGCAAGGACTATGCAGCAAGATCCTGTCTCAAAAAATTCAAATCACTGCTTTTTAAACCCACTGAGGGATCTGTTCATTCAAAGGTAAAGAGTAATTGGGTTTTAGTTTAAGGAGAAGGCAAAAGAATATTTTGAATAAAGCACAATAAGCATTTCTACTTTACAGTAAATAAATTTAAAAGTGAGGGTTTAATGTCATACACACATATTGAGAAAGACAGGCAAGGTCGCACATAACCAGGCTGTCCCTGAACTTATTATGCATCAGAGGATGGTCTTGACCTCCTGATCTCCCTGCCTCAACCTCTCAAGTGCTGGGATGGCAGGCATGTGTATCACACCTGATTCTAAACATCCCTGCATGACTATGCGCATGTATTTTAGACAGAGGTATACATGGTGTGTTTTAGACAGAGACTATGTAGCTTCAGTGGGCTTGGAACTCATTACATAGACTAGGCTAGCCTCAAACTCACAGAGATCTTCCTACCTCTTAAGTGCCACCCCTCACTTGACCTTTAACATGTTTTAAATGAAAATTTCTTTTTAAACCATATTTAGTGAGAAGCACTATTTTACATTTTTCAAAGTTCTTTGATAAAAGAAAATTCTAAAAATTAACTTCACGAGGCTATATGAGTAATTATTTTAGTTGTTATTAATATATAGACAAGCTCACAGGCCACATAAATACTAGAAAAATGCTATGGTTATTTTAAAATAAGGAGTGAGAAACATAGTGTCTCATTAACAAAAGTATCTGCAGCGTTTAGCTGCCCTTCCAGCACTCACATGGTGGCTCACAACTCTCTGTAACTCAGTTCCAGGTTATCTGATGTTCTCTTCTGACCTTCCTGAGCATCAGGCACAGAGATGGTGCACAGATATACATGCAGACAAAATACCCATAAACATTAAAAACAAAATCAAACCATAAGAATAAGTTATCTGCAATCTTACAGAGCCATCTTGGAAACCTCTGTGGACTCTCTAGAATACACTTTTGGCACTCAATAACCTAATCTGGAATAAATACATCACCACAAACATGAGTACTGAATTATTTTGTGAAAAACGTGAGGAAGAAAAAGACAGTATATTTATGTGTGATATGGAAACAGAGAGGGCTAAATTCTCATCTTCCAAAGCAGAAAGTTAAGAGAAAACATGAACTAGAGCAGTCAGAGTGGTACATCTGGAGTAAGAACTGGGACCAGAAGAAGGCAAGACACTATTAAACCCCTCTCTGTCAAGTTAAGAGGCTATGTCTTGTCTCTGCAGACTCTGCAACATTACTAAGTTCTGAGATGAAGTAATTTTTTTTGATTTACAAAACTCATAAGGTCAATCGATTTTTTACTGTAACATTTGTAAGGTAATGTTGAAATTACTTGTTCTGAGTTTTGTTCCACTGAATCTAGCTGGTTCTAAGGGTCCCATTGCCTTTCTTTAACCATGCATTATTAATTTAATAATGTGAATTCTTTACTAATCTGAGTAGATAAGATTCACTAATGAGAACTCAAGTACACACAAAGTCAACCAAGGGAAAAGACACCTGACTAAAGATTTGAATTAAGCTTCTCAGGGAGAATTACATTACAGGCAATCATGTCTGCGAAAGGACAAAGTCTGGAATGAGCAAAGCACCATGTAAGCACTCCTGAAAACAGACCAGATGTATAGGGATAGTGAGCGATTTCCTAAATCTTGAGATTGGCAATCAGATAATGAGAAATCTTGAAAGAGATCTAATACTGGGACAGTTGGCTGGTTATTTCTGTAAACATTGTAATATTAGGGTTAAAAAATGGACTTCTGGAAACTCACCAGAGACAGCTGAAATCAATATGGATGAACCCCAGAGGAAAAAGGAAAAGATTAAAAAAAAACAAAAAATGCTTATAAATGAAGCCTCCACTGATGTCTATAAATGGAAGTTAACAGAAAGGACAAAAACAAAAAAATAAAAAAAGCACATCACAAAGACAATTTAGAACAGCAACCACAGAAGCCAACATCAAAAACACACGAAGCATCAGTCAACAGCGTCTCACATGCAGTTTTATTGGTCCTTCTTTCATGAATGTTCAATAAACACTGACAGCACAGACACAAAGAAATGACACACTCATTCTTTGTTTAGGATTCAGAAAGAGGTAGTCATCTTAGGGAAACTTGATTATACCGAATTTCCCCATAGCAAGCAATTTAATGACCACTTTTGCCAAAATATGCTATCTTGCAACTCTAATCACCATACTTAGGGTAAGGAGGTAGTACGGGGTAGAGTGCAGAGATGCTGGGTTCAGCAGCACACCACACTGCACAGCAGAAACAATTCCCAAACGGCCTCACCTAAAGTGCAATTCTAAATTTAGGGGTATGTTAATAATTTTCCCAGGCTCAAGGAAAAAAAAATGTTTCTTTGGTTCCTAATATCAATGAAAATCCTAGCAAATTGGCAGTATACTTAAGACACAAATTAAAAATACAGAGCATAATAAACAAGGATGACGCCTACGTTAGAAACCATTGGGGTTCATAAATAGGATAGAATGGTACAAAGGAGAGGCTGAGAAGGGTTGAGTGGGGTGGGAAAAGGCTAACCAACAGTCACTAAGCTCCATTTAGAGGCTGTAGTTACCTGACTGCAAGGTAACTACAGACAGCGATCATATACAGTGCACTTATAAAATGTCAGTCAAAGATTTTAAATGTTTCCACTATAAAAGAAACTCCAAAGCTTTGAGATCCATGTTTATCCTAATTTGGACATTACACAACAGATACGTATGTACAAACCTCCTCCAAGCATCAGTGGTACACGCCTGTAATCTTAGCACTTGGAAGGAAGAGCTAGAGTAGAGTTCATGGCTAGCCTGGGCTACATACTAAGTCCAGGCCAGCTTGGACTGCACAGTAAGACTGTTTCAACAAACTAATTAACTAATAGTTTTCCAAATATGCACAACATGTATGCATCAACTTAAAAAGAATAAAGACTGTGGTGGGGGAATGAAGTAGGAAACAGCTTTTGGCAGCACGCATGGTTTTTAAAAGTCATAGCCGATTTAAACATGCTAGTCATAAAGATCAGTATACATAACAGATGTATCCGTTAACATTTTTCAAGTTATTTTATATGTATAGGTTTTGTATGCATCTATGCCTGTGTACTATGTGTAGGCATGATACCTACAGAGGTCAGAAGATCCCCTGAACTGGAGTTACAGGTCGTTGTGAGCAGCCACATGAGTGCTGGGAATGGAATCCTGGTCCCCTGGAAGAGCAGCAAGTGCCCTTACTTGTTGAGCTGTCTCTCCAGTCCCAGTTTTTCTCATTTTATTGAGAAGAAAAAATAAATGCTACATAAGAATATTTGGAAAATATAACCCCGCCAAACAAAACAAAACAAAACAAAGGGAACTAATGAAACCCACCATTGTACAGGAATGACAATGCTGTTTTAGTATTAGGAAACAGATGCAGGTTTCCCCAATTCATTAATTAAGCAGGATTTAAAATGTCATATTTATCCTTTTTTAAAATCATTTTTAACATAAGTGGCAATAAATTCTTTTCTTCACATCAGATTTTTTTTCTTCTTAAATTGGTGTTTTGGCCATATGTATGCCTGTGTGAGGATGTTGGATCCTGGAGTTACAGACAGGTGTAAGCTGCCAAGTGGGCTCTGGGAATTGAACCTCGGTCCTCAGGAAGAATAGTCAGTGCTTGTAATGGCTGAACCACCTCTCCAGCCTCCTTTCACATAAATTTTTTTTTAGAATTTTCTTAGACTTGTCACCACGGCCATTCTTGACA